TTTTTAACACTTGACACCAAGCCACTACCGTGTCTCCTGATATAAAGATTTATATCATTTACAGATTTTCTGAATTTTTCTGGAAAAAATGTGATTTAGAACTTTTGTTTACTCAGTATATAATTCCTTTTTTTTTTGTGTTTCTACATTGCAAATATTTAATAAAAAACATGAGTCAAATTGAAGGTGGCCTAATAAGAAGTATTACTTGTAAGTATAAAATCGTATTTACTTTTATAAGACTTTGATCATTGATTGTTTGATGTACTATTACTTGTTTTTTCAGGACCATTCAATTTTTTATTTAATAATTAACAAAATTTTTTAATCAATCAAAACGTTTAAATCAATTTTTTTCTTTTTTTTATTTAGTATTTTCTGTATGTAAAATACCCATATATTATTATATGTTATAAAATATAATATGCAAAATTAGATTGTAATCCTTTGCTTATTTTAAACTAAAATTGTATATCTAAAACTCTACAATATATATATATATATATATATATATATATATACATATTTTTTTTCCAATTATAATGAGTGTCAGAGCCGTTAATGTTAGCTGGTTACTCGTAATGAAATATCAGAGGCGTCTGTTATAAGCTCATTAGTTATAATAAAATGCCAGAGGCGTTAATTGTGAGCTGGCTGGTAATAATGAAATACCAGAGGTGTTAATCGTGAGCTGGTTAGTTTTAATTAAATGCCAGAGGCGTTAATCGTGAGCTGGCTGGTAATAATGAAATACCAGAGGCGTTAATCGTGTGTTGGTTAGTTTTAATAAAATGCCAGAGGCGTTAATCGTGAGCTGGCTGGTAATAATGAAATACCAGAGGCGTTAATCGTGAGCTGGTTAGTTATAATAAAATGCCAGAGGCGTTAATCGTGACCTGGTAAGTTATAAACAAATACCAGAGGCATTAATCGTGAGCTGGTTAGTTATAATAAAATGCCAGAGGCGTTAATCGTGAGCTGATTAGTTATAATAAAATGCCAGAGGCGTTAAT